AAGCAGATAAGCATATTCCCAAAAAAGAGATCTTCTGTTCTAAGTGGAAACAGGGATAACACTTCACGCTCACCAGATGAGGCAATGTTGTAAGTTTGATTTCTTTATAATTTGCATTAATATTTTGACATAATTTTATTTTTCTTGGAAATTCATATGAGTGATTTGGTATTTGTTTCATTTGTTGTGCCCATGTTATAAGATTTGTGTTATTTGTGTGTTAATGTTTATTGCAGGTCGAAATAAATCATAAACTATTATGACAAGCCGTATTATTTCTGGTGACCCGTGAAACATTTCGACAACACTCAGGATGGGGCTCAGCGACGAGGAGCCTCAGCACGGCAGCATGGAGGGCTCTGCTGCTTCGGTAGACGGTTGGATGAAGAATCAGTCAAAAAGGGCTAAGCAGCATAGAGGAACTGCCAAAGGAAAGTTAACACGTAAGCTAGAAAAGTTTTATGAGCATGTGAAAGATAAAGTTGCCTTAGAAATATTGGAAGATAACTATAATTTGATTGTTAAAGCTTTTGAGGAAGTTGAACTAGCAAATGAAAGTTATTGCAATTTACTTGATGAAACTAGTGATACTCAAGAATTAAAGTCTGCAGACATTTACATTAAGGAACTTGACGATAAGAAATGTGCTGCCCATGTTTTGTTTGTAAAGATTAAAGATGAGATGCAAATGAAAGGGGCCATCAAAGTAAAATCTATTGACATTCCAAAGTTTGATGGAAAAATCAGAGACTATAGTAATTTTAAAAGGGATTATGTCAGACTTATGCAACCCAACTATGGAAAAGACCCATTTGCTCTTAGACAGTGTCTCTCAGGAGAAGCCTTAGACTCTATTTGTGGGGTCGAGCATGATTTTGATAAAATGTTTGCACGGTTAGATGACATGTACAGTGATAGTCGACGAGTAATTGATGTAGTAATTGAAGATTTGAGAGAAATTGAACCTGTAGTCGAGGGTGATAGTTTAGGTTTTATCAGAATGGTAGACAAAATTGAGCAAAATTTTCTTTATCTAGATCAGTTGGGTCTATCTTCAGAACTTAATACTGCCAATATGACAAGTCAGATAGAGAAACTCTTGCCTCCAACTCAGAAGCGGGAATGGATCAAAATAGCAGAAAATGTTGAACCTGTTGAATTATTTAAAAAACTACTGGAATACCTTTTGGGTGAAAGGAAATCCCTTAAGTATCTGATTGCCAGTGTAAGGAACCCTGTTAACACTAAAGCTAGAGTGAACTATGCTGTGTACAATCAAGATAGGATTAGCTCTGACCATACTGAAGAATCAGAAATAATGAAGAGGCTGTCTGATGTTGAGAAGGCTGTAACAAATATAAATAACCTTGTGATCAAGCTTACAGAAGAAAAGAGTGAAGAAAAGAGGTCTATTGGTACTCTAAGTACACATTTGAACAGGTGTTGGTATCATGGAACAGATGGACATGATATTTTAGACTGTGCAACATTTCAGAAGTTAAACAATAGTGAGAAATTTGAAATTCTAAGGAAAAGAGGTATCTGTTTTAATTGTCTAAAGGGAATTCATGTATCTAGGAGATGTTTTAAAAAATCAAGATGTTCTGCAACTGATGCAAATAATCAAACTTGTGGGAAGCTCCATCACACGAGCCTTCATGAAAATCAGATTGTTGGGAGTTCATACGTCAGCTTGAAAAGAAATGGAGTCATGTTCATGGTCAATAAGATTAAATGTAATAATCAAGTATTAAATACACTCTTTGATTCTGGGGCTGACGTGACAATGATACGAAATGATATGGCAGCCTCATTAGGATTGAAAGGCAAGCATATACGCTTAGCTGTGACTAAACTAGGAAACCAGACTGTAACATATAACAGTAAGGAATATGACCTTGTTCTTACTGATAAACAGGGGAATAATGTGAATATTACTGCTTATGGTATAGATGAAATAACATCATGTATAAACAAGGTTAATCTGTCACATGTGAAGCATTTATTTAAGAGTACTGATGTATGCCAATTGGATAGACCTCATGGTAAGATAGATTTACTGATAGGTGCTGACTATTGCTCTCTAATCCCTACAGTTAAAGAAACTGTAGGTGAAAATTTACAACTTATGGAATCTCGATTTGGGATGTGTGTTCGTGGTAGTCACCCTAGTATAGCTTGTGCCTCAGGTACTAGGGATATTGTAGGCATCAGAATAAACCATATTTCTGGGATTATATATGACAAAGATATAACTGTTGAACCGAAATCTGATATTAAGGATCAGATTGATAAATTTTTCACAGTGGAATATTTAGGAACAGAATGTAATCCTAGATGTGGTGATTGCAAATGTGGCAAATGTGCAGTGGGTAACAATGACTATAGTATTAGAGGAGAGAGAGAGTTAGCCTTAATTGAAAAAGGATTACAATATGATTCAGAAAAAAAACAATGGTCCGCTAAATTCCCATGGGTTAAAGACCCTAATTTATTACAGAATAATATCTCTGTTGCTGTTGCCAAATTAAGGAGTACTGAGAAGAGATTGCTGAAACTTGGACCAGAATATGCTAAAGCTTATAACAACCAAATAAGGGATATGATCAAACGTGATGTTGCACGTAAATTAACACCAGATGAAATAAAAGGTTATGCTGGTCCTATTACATATCTTCAACATCATGAAGTGCTAAAGCCAGGATCTACATCCACACCAATTAGGATTGTCTTTAATTCCTCTGCCAAATTCATGGGACAATCTCTAAATAGCTTTTGGGCCAAGGGTCCTGATGTTTTGAATTCCATGGTGGGCATATTACTGAGATTCCGTGAAGGAGCCATAGGTATAGCAGGTGATATAAGTAAGATGTACAACAGTATTAAGCTTCCTGAAATGGAGCAACATGTACGCAGATTTGTTTGGAGAGATTTCCAGTTGAATTGTGAGCCTGAGCATTATGTGTTAACTTCAATGGGCTTTGGTGACAAACCTTCTGGAATAATTGCTATGTTGGCTCTTAAACACACAGCTGAGCTATGGATGGAAAAGTATCCCGATGCTGCTTCTATGATAATATCAAATTCTTATGTTGATGATATTATACAATCAGTTGAGAGTAAAGAGAAAGCTTTGCAGTTGATTCAGGAAACTGAGAAAATACTCTCATATGGCAATTTTAAGGTAAAGCAGTGGATTATGACTGGTGATGTTGATAAGGATGATCTAGATTTTTCAGAGAATGAAGGCAATAAAATTCTTGGTTTATATTGGGATCGTTGGAATGATGAATTTAAATTCAAAGCAAGGTTGAATTTTTCTCCTAAATATAAGGGTATACGAACAGGTCCAGATTTAAAATTTTCAAATTTTATTTGTAACATTCCTCCAGTTTTAACTAAGAGAATTGTTATAAGTCAGATGTGTTCTGTGTATGACCCACTAGGTTTACTTCTTCCATACACATTGAAAGCCAAAATATTATTACGGGAAACTGTCAGTTGCAGTACCAAGTTAGGATGGGATGACCCTTTGCCTGCCCATATGAAAGAGCAATGGGTAGTACACTTTCACAAATTATTTGGGATTGATTCCTTGTCATTTGAAAGATGTATCAAACCACCCACAGCGATAGGTCTGCCTATGCTTGTTATTTTTAGTGATAGTTCATCAAATGCATATGGTGCTGTGGCTTATGCTAGGTGGAAAATGAAATCTGGAATGTTTGAAAGTAAGCTAATAATGGCAAAAGGAAGAATAGCTCCTACCAGACAACTTTCCATACCCAGACTTGAATTGTGTGGAGCAATTATTTCATGCAGACTACGCAAATTAATCGAAAATGAATTATCATATAGATTTAGTTCAGTAATGCATATAACAGACTCGGCTATTGTGAGAGCACAGATCCAAAAGGAGTCGTATGGATTTGGGACTTTTGTAGCAACACGGGTAGCAGAAGTACAATCGAAGAGTAATCCCAATGAATGGTGGTGGATTGCTTCTTGTCACAATCCTGCAGATTTACTTACTAGACCTAATGATCCATCAGATATTATCATCAGTTCATTGTGGAAGTATGGCCCAAAATTCATGACTCTACCCAAAGAAGAGTGGCCAATAAGTCAATCTATTGAATGTGACTTGCCTGATAGAGTCCATGTGAATTTAACACACTGTCTGAAGGACTCAGATGAATGTGTTATTGATTTATCTAAGTTCAAAAATTACAATAAACTTATTGCAGTTACTGGTAGGATATTAAATGTAATGAAGATCAGATCTTTAAAGGGTATCTTATTAAGACTTGAACCTGATATTCTAAATGAAGCATTACAATTTTGGATCAGGCAAGCACAAAAATGTTTTTCCGGTAATTGGAAACAGAAATATCAAAGATTGGGACCATACAAGACTGAAAATGGTATAATTATGGTAGGTCAAAGACTGGAGCATTGGTTAAAACAAAATTGGAATCAAGATAACTTTATCCTGTTACCCAGGAAACATTTGTTTACTATACTTTATATTAGTCATTTGCATAATATAGATCATGCTGGAGTGGATGTTACACTTAGTAAACTGCAGACAAAGTTCTGGGTTCCTTCAGCACGTAAAGTCATCAGAGCAGTGAAACGTAAATGTGTTACTTGTAGGAGATTAGATTACAAAGTTGAAGGTCAGTGCATGGGTCAAGTCGCTACTGAAAGAATAACTCCATGTCCAGCTTTCTATCACACTGCTACAGATATCTTTGGGCCATTTCAAATAAGAGACAATGTGAAGAAAAGAACTACTGGTAAAGCTTATGGTGTTATATTTAATTGCATGGTTACTCGTGCTGTATATATTGATGTTGTTGATGGATATGATACCCATAGTTTCTTGAAGACTTTTAGACGTTTCACAGCTGTCCATGGATATCCAGCTACTGTTCATTCAGACTTAGGCTCTCAACTGGTATCAGCTAGTAAGGAAACTTCAAATAGCTATAAATAACTGGAATATGTCTGATATTTCTGAATTTGGAACAAAAGGGGGATTAAAATGGATTTTCAACCGTTCAGCTGATGCAGCATGGCAAAATGGTGTTAGTGAGTCCTTGATCAAATCTGTGAAAAGATCCTTAGCCATGATAATTGGATCTACTCTGATGACATATAGTGGTCTACAAACTATATTTTTTGAAATAGCAAACCTCATGAATGAAAGGCCTATTGGATTAAAACCTGGTATGGATTTAGAATTAGGAACTTACTTGTGCCCAAATGATTTGCTTTTAGGCAGGGCAAGTAATCATGCACCATGTGGACCATGGAAAGATTCTTTCAATACAAAGAGAAGGTTAGATTATATACAAAATGTTGTTAATACATTTTGGCGTAAATGGCAAAGAGATTATTTCCCTACATTAATTGTTAGACAAAAATGGCATACTGATAAAAGAAATCTGCAGTCTGGTGATATTGTGTTGATACAAGATTCTAATACAGTTAAAGGAAAATGGAAAATGGGACAAGTTGTAAAAGTAGAAAAGGGAAGAGACACTAAAGTTCGGGATGTGAGTATTAGATATAAAGTGCAGAAACCAGGTAAAGAGTACAAAGGTCAGTCTGATACTATCATTAGAAGATCAGTCCACAAGCTGGTTGTATTATTACCGGTGGAAGAACAATGATTGTGTGGGGGAGTGTATCATTAGTTTGTATTAACTAATGATAATTTATTCCTTTTTTGTTATTTTATCACGCATGTCCAATTTCTGTTTTTTTTATGTGCTGAGCATGATGGGAAATAGAGGTAACGCATGGGAATTTTGAGTCGTAAACAAAGATCCATATTATGTTTTTGAAGTTGTATTATAAGTTGCAGTTTTATTTTCTTGTTGTTTTGGGATGCTAGAATTGTATTTAGCATCTTTAGAAGCAGATAAGCATATTCCCAAAAAAGAGATCTTCTGTTCTAAGTGGAAACAGGGATAACACTTCACGCTCACCAGATGAGGCAATGTTGTAAGTTTGATTTCTTTATAATTTGCATTAATATTTTGACATAATTTTATTTTTCTTGGAAATTCATATGAGTGATTTGGTATTTGTTTCATTTGTTGTGCCCATGTTATAAGATTTGTGTTATTTGTGTGTTAATGTTTATTGCAGGTCGAAATAAATCATAAACTATTATGACAAGCCGTATTATTTCTGGTGACCCGTGAAACATTTCGACAACACTCAGGATGGGGCTCAGCGACGAGGAGCCTCAGCACGGCAGCATGGAGGGCTCTGCTGCTTCGGTAGACGGTTGGATGAAGAATCAGTCAAAAAGGGCTAAGCAGCATAGAGGAACTGCCAAAGGAAAGTTAACACGTAAGCTAGAAAAGTTTTATGAGCATGTGAAAGATAAAGTTGCCTTAGAAATATTGGAAGATAACTATAATTTGATTGTTAAAGCTTTTGAGGAAGTTGAACTAGCAAATGAAAGTTATTGCAATTTACTTGATGAAACTAGTGATACTCAAGAATTAAAGTCTGCAGACATTTACATTAAGGAACTTGACGATAAGAAATGTGCTGCCCATGTTTTGTTTGTAAAGATTAAAGATGAGATGCAAATGAAAGGGGCCATCAAAGTAAAATCTATTGACATTCCAAAGTTTGATGGAAAAATCAGAGACTATAGTAATTTTAAAAGGGATTATGTCAGACTTATGCAACCCAACTATGGAAAAGACCCATTTGCTCTTAGACAGTGTCTCTCAGGAGAAGCCTTAGACTCTATTTGTGGGGTCGAGCATGATTTTGATAAAATGTTTGCACGGTTAGATGACATGTACAGTGATAGTCGACGAGTAATTGATGTAGTAATTGAAGATTTGAGAGAAATTGAACCTGTAGTCGAGGGTGATAGTTTAGGTTTTATCAGAATGGTAGACAAAATTGAGCAAAATTTTCTTTATCTAGATCAGTTGGGTCTATCTTCAGAACTTAATACTGCCAATATGACAAGTCAGATAGAGAAACTCTTGCCTCCAACTCAGAAGCGGGAATGGATCAAAATAGCAGAAAATGTTGAACCTGTTGAATTATTTAAAAAACTACTGGAATACCTTTTGGGTGAAAGGAAATCCCTTAAGTATCTGATTGCCAGTGTAAGGAACCCTGTTAACACTAAAGCTAGAGTGAACTATGCTGTGTACAATCAAGATAGGATTAGCTCTGACCATACTGAAGAATCAGAAATAATGAAGAGGCTGTCTGATGTTGAGAAGGCTGTAACAAATATAAATAACCTTGTGATCAAGCTTACAGAAGAAAAGAGTGAAGAAAAGAGGTCTATTGGTACTCTAAGTACACATTTGAACAGGTGTTGGTATCATGGAACAGATGGACATGATATTTTAGACTGTGCAACATTTCAGAAGTTAAACAATAGTGAGAAATTTGAAATTCTAAGGAAAAGAGGTATCTGTTTTAATTGTCTAAAGGGAATTCATGTATCTAGGAGATGTTTTAAAAAAATCAAGATGTTCTGCAACTGATGCAAATAATCAAACTTGTGGGAAGCTCCATCACACGAGCCTTCATGAAAATCAGATTGTTGGGAGTTCATACGTCAGCTTGAAAGAAATGGAGTCATGTTCATGGTCAATAAGATTAAATGTAATAATCAAGTATTAAATACACTCTTTGATTCTGGGGCTGACGTGACAATGATACGAAATGATATGGCAGCCTCATTAGGATTGAAAGGCAAGCATATACGCTTAGCTGTGACTAAACTAGGAAACCAGACTGTAACATATAACAGTAAGGAATATGACCTTGTTCTTACTGATAAACAGGGGAATAATGTGAATATTACTGCTTATGGTATAGATGAAATAACATCATGTATAAACAAGGTTAATCTGTCACATGTGAAGCATTTATTTAAGAGTACTGATGTATGCCAATTGGATAGACCTCATGGTAAGATAGATTTACTGATAGGTGCTGACTATTGCTCTCTAATCCCTACAGTTAAAGAAACTGTAGGTGAAAATTTACAACTTATGGAATCTCGATTTGGGATGTGTGTTCGTGGTAGTCACCCTAGTATAGCTTGTGCCTCAGGTACTAGGGATATTGTAGGCATCAGAATAAACCATATTTCTGGGATTATATATGACAAAGATATAACTGTTGAACCGAAATCTGATATTAAGGATCAGATTGATAAATTTTTCACAGTGGAATATTTAGGAACAGAATGTAATCCTAGATGTGGTGATTGCAAATGTGGCAAATGTGCAGTGGGTAACAATGACTATAGTATTAGAGGAGAGAGAGAGTTAGCCTTAATTGAAAAAGGATTACAATATGATTCAGAAAAAAAACAATGGTCCGCTAAATTCCCATGGGTTAAAGACCCTAATTTATTACAGAATAATATCTCTGTTGCTGTTGCCAAATTAAGGAGTACTGAGAAGAGATTGCTGAAACTTGGACCAGAATATGCTAAAGCTTATAACAACCAAATAAGGGATATGATCAAACGTGATGTTGCACGTAAATTAACACCAGATGAAATAAAAGGTTATGCTGGTCCTATTACATATCTTCAACATCATGAAGTGCTAAAGCCAGGATCTACATCCACACCAATTAGGATTGTCTTTAATTCCTCTGCCAAATTCATGGGACAATCTCTAAATAGCTTTTGGGCCAAGGGTCCTGATGTTTTGAATTCCATGGTGGGCATATTACTGAGATTCCGTGAAGGAGCCATAGGTATAGCAGGTGATATAAGTAAGATGTACAACAGTATTAAGCTTCCTGAAATGGAGCAACATGTACGCAGATTTGTTTGGAGAGATTTCCAGTTGAATTGTGAGCCTGAGCATTATGTGTTAACTTCAATGGGCTTTGGTGACAAACCTTCTGGAATAATTGCTATGTTGGCTCTTAAACACACAGCTGAGCTATGGATGGAAAAGTATCCCGATGCTGCTTCTATGATAATATCAAATTCTTATGTTGATGATATTATACAATCAGTTGAGAGTAAAGAGAAAGCTTTGCAGTTGATTCAGGAAACTGAGAAAATACTCTCATATGGCAATTTTAAGGTAAAGCAGTGGATTATGACTGGTGATGTTGATAAGGATGATCTAGATTTTTCAGAGAATGAAGGCAATAAAATTCTTGGTTTATATTGGGATCGTTGGAATGATGAATTTAAATTCAAAGCAAGGTTGAATTTTTCTCCTAAATATAAGGGTATACGAACAGGTCCAGATTTAAAATTTTCAAATTTTATTTGTAACATTCCTCCAGTTTTAACTAAGAGAATTGTTATAAGTCAGATGTGTTCTGTGTATGACCCACTAGGTTTACTTCTTCCATACACATTGAAAGCCAAAATATTATTACGGGAAACTGTCAGTTGCAGTACCAAGTTAGGATGGGATGACCCTTTGCCTGCCCATATGAAAGAGCAATGGGTAGTACACTTTCACAAATTATTTGGGATTGATTCCTTGTCATTTGAAAGATGTATCAAACCACCCACAGCGATAGGTCTGCCTATGCTTGTTATTTTTAGTGATAGTTCATCAAATGCATATGGTGCTGTGGCTTATGCTAGGTGGAAAATGAAATCTGGAATGTTTGAAAGTAAGCTAATAATGGCAAAAGGAAGAATAGCTCCTACCAGACAACTTTCCATACCCAGACTTGAATTGTGTGGAGCAATTATTTCATGCAGACTACGCAAATTAATCGAAAATGAATTATCATATAGATTTAGTTCAGTAATGCATATAACAGACTCGGCTATTGTGAGAGCACAGATCCAAAAGGAGTCGTATGGATTTGGGACTTTTGTAGCAACACGGGTAGCAGAAGTACAATCGAAGAGTAATCCCAATGAATGGTGGTGGATTGCTTCTTGTCACAATCCTGCAGATTTACTTACTAGACCTAATGATCCATCAGATATTATCATCAGTTCATTGTGGAA